CTCTGCAACATAACTCGGTCTGGTCTCATATCATTAATATGCTTATACTATTCTAAGAAAAATTTGGCTAAGTCTTTCCACGTCTTGATATGAGTTTGGTTGAGCTGGTTGTACCACCGGATAGCTGAACCGGACAAGCTCTCCTGGAAGTAGTGAATCAAGAGTTGGTCATTTCCTCCATATCCCGTCATCTTCTGGCAGAACATAGTGATATGGGCTGAAGGGTAGTTGTTCCCGTCGAACTTCTCGAACTCGGGACTTGAATTTTGGTGGAAGCACCAAATCGAGAACCAAGCTCAGCTCCATTACATCCACCCCATAATATCGTGGTCCCTTTGACCATCTTGTCTGATCTAACATCCTGATCTTCTCTTCCATCTTCTTTGACTTATCATCCTCGTTAATATCAGGGATAGGGCAGTTGTCTGGATGACTATCATGGTTGGCTGCAAAAGTTTGTATATTTGCAACCGATACAAATTTCCCTTTGGTGGCAGATGAATCACCTTGTAGTCCGAGTAAGATCCCGAATGAATCAACCACTTGTGGGGTCGGTGGTATAGCTGCCCTTTCGGATGAACTTACCCCTGGTGCACTGGCCTGCATTAAACCCGACAACTTAGCCACGATTTGGTCAACCAAAGATTCCTGGTTTTTCGTGATGGAATCCAATGTACTCTTACTGTTTTGAGCCATTTTATCTTCCATCTCTTTTTTTGTAATTTTACCATGTTCTCTTCGATCTTTTCGATTCTGGCCTCCATTTGTCTCTTCTTTGCTCAAGTATTGTGCGGATGATGCGTATCTAATGTTTGCGGTGGTAAACTTGGTGTTTGCTCTTTCTCTTTCTGAGACATGTTCTATTAGTTAATATGAATGTAAAACATGGAAAATATAAAAATAAACATGAAATAGAAAATGCAAGAAATGTAATGCACGTGTATGCAATTTAGAGGCATTGATCCAGAAAAGTATCCATTATTATAAATAATCCTTATTTAGACAAAAAATGTTTTATCTTTTAAGAAGCATAAAAACAATCAAAGGTACATCCGGACTAAATCCTCTAGACCCCGAATAGCTTCTAGTAGGTTAACAAGTCTTCTGTTTTCATCTGTCACTGGTTGAATGCATTGTCGAACCACTCCAGCTTCCCTTGCCAGGCCATGTAGATGACGGGCTGCCTTCTGTACTTGATCCAAGAAGTCTAAGATGACTTCGTCTTTGGCCTTCACCCTTTGTTGTGCTTGCTCCCAATAGAAACACTACTGTAAACCTCCGTCAAAAGGCACTATCTGAAGCTCGTTCGCTTGCTTCTTGAACCCATCTACAATAGCTTCTAACTCAACTATTATCTTACCATTTCTCTCATGTTGTTTCTCTAAATCAGCCACCTGGATTCTCAAGTGTTGATTCTGATGTTGAATGTCTGCTAAGCGCCTCTGAGCAGTCTTCAGTTGTTCCTTCCAAGCTCTTTCATCAGGCCCCCAAACTTCTTTTTCAGGCTGTGAGCTTCGTCTTTCCAGTATTCAGAGGTTACTTTCAACTTGGAGTTATCCTTGATTTTATCTTGATACCCCTTTCTTAAGTCTTCGAGCTCGAAACGGATTTTCTTCTGCTCTTTCTCCAGTTTGTCTGCCCGATCTTTCTGAGTGTCGGTAATTAGCTTCCACTGATATCGTTCAGCTTCAAGTTTCTTTACCATTTGCTTCAGCTCATTATTCACAGCTTCGAACTATGCCTTGCTATCTCAAGTTTAGAAGGGATAGGCCTGAGATGTTCCTCCATGGTCCGGGTATCTTCACAATCTGGCACCGGGATATTGTCATTTTTTCTCAATCTTCGCCACTCCACATAATCCGGATTAAGCATGTCTCTAGCAACTACAATATCCATCCGGAATACTTTCTTCCATGAATCAGCTACTTCTGTGATCATCTTCTTATAGCTGTCACTGTGATACATAAACTCTGATCTAGCTAGTCCGCATGTTGCTACAAACTGACGTGCCCCATATTGTCTAAGTTCCAAAAGCGGAGAATATCCAACTCCACCCCATAGTCCAATAGAGTCATAGTATAGAATCCCCACACGAAAAAGAACGTCATTGAGGAATAATCAGGGGGCTCTCCAGGCAATATCCCGGTCTTGAAGATGAGTGAAGACCTTCATCCACTTTTCCTTTGTAGCACCTTCATACCATTTCATAGTGATGAACTCTCCCAAAGGTGAATAGGTGGTGCTAAATCGGCGGTAGGAAACCCCGTTAGTCTTCCAAAAGTGGCTGTGAATCCAGACTTGAAGGAGCTAAACACACCCAATGAACTTTCCTCCACCAATTTTGCAATGATTAAGAGACCGAAAGGTCTCGACTAAGATGGCCGGTGGTGGGTTGACTCACCTTGGAAGTTGTTCAAATAGTTCCACCACGGCTGTGTCGATGCACCCCAGGGTCTTCGAAAAGATAATCAAACCGTACAGACCCATTGCAAAAAGGTCTATAGTCTTCCATTCATCAGGGTGGTTCTTCATTAGTTGATTTATGTGGATCCACTCGATTCTTTCCCCATTACCTTTGTGCCGGAGTCGATCAATCACCCATTTTTCATCAACCCCTGTAATTTTGGTCAGTCCGTTCTTGAAAGGATGACTCTTGATGTGTTTGATATATGCCCTCTCTAGTCTGATGCTTTCGCAGTGTAGTAGTGTAGTATACTCTTCGATAGTGGGCACCATGTCCTTCCAGTTAAAGGTGAAGCAACTATATCGGGTTTTGGAATTGAATCAATGCTCGATCAGGGGCTCATCATCTTGACATGGAGTAAGAGGGCATTATCACCATATCGTTGGTTGAACTTCTGCTTTCTGTCATTCTTCCAACTTTCCCAAATGTTCCGCAGCTCTTGGACATCATTCTGTTTCAGGCTGACAGAGGCATAGCTAACCAGCTCTGACACATAGTTCCCCTAAAGACTGTCTCCCTTCTCTTTATGAGTCTTCTCGGACCATAGTTGTGCCTCGACATTTTTAATCTCTTGTATTACAACACCTTTGTCCATTAATTCATATTATTTTATGTGTAATAAATGCTTTTTAGGGATCAATAGCCTCTTCTTTTGATGCAAATGCTAAAAAACAAACACAAAGGCAAAAAAGTTAGTAAAATAAAAATATAAATAAATAAATAAATAAATGACGAAAGGCAAAGACATAAAAACATATTAGGGTAAAAATATCCTAGGTTTTGGAATGTGGTTTTGGGGTAGGCTCTAATTCTCCATAGTCTCCCGATTTAGGTTCTAAAAACGGTACCCGAGTTCTCCTTGCCAGTGCCCCCTTGGGCTTGCCAGACCCTTAGTCCTAATCCCATTACAAGCTTGTGTGGACTAAGTTAAACTCGAGAGGAAACAGTCCCTTATGCCCGCACGGTGAATAAATTCACACGAAGACATAAGGTATATGAATCCTGAAGGCTACTTGCTAGGCTCGCAAGGTGAATAAATGCACACGAAGGCGTCTCTTTCACCCCCCACTTAAATATGGTTTGGAGCTCGTATATAGAGCCTTAGATGAAAAACAAATTTGAAAGGCTGAAATCATTAGAAAACAGTTAGTACAATTATTTATTCGAAAATATAATCAAAAGTAAGCAATAATGATCGAAATGTTACCTTAAAATTTAAACTTACCCTTTTCGTTAAAAAGATAATTGGAAATTACCTTAACCTGACTCACTTACCTGTCCCTATCGGAATTGCCAAGTGTCGGAGTCGTCTTTCGGTTGGGCTCAGAATTGGGCTTCGACTTAAGAAAATGGATTAAGAGTCGCCACCATCTTTTATTTTGAAATAAATAGGTAGATCAGATACCTTATTCCTTACCTGATCTGCATCTTACCAGTGATATGTCAGATTCAGGAGTGGTTATATCAAAGAATGTTAGCACCCTTGAACTGCCCTTTCGGTACTACGCAATTTCCAGTTGTCTTTAATTAAGAAAGTTGTAAATTTAAATTACAAGGTAAAATAAAGATCAAAAACTTACCACTGATTGATTTAAAAGTGAACCCTTAAAAAGTCGAGAAACACGTTAGAGGAAAAGACAATGAAAGTAAATAAATAAAACAAAGAAAACACATAAAAAACGTGAATAAACAAAATGAGAAAATAAATAAGAAAAAAAAAAGTAAAAGTAAAAAAAAACAAGGAAAATGAATAAAGCAAAGAACCTAATAATAATATAACAAATAAATAAATGAAACAACAATAAAAATAAATAAGGAGAAAAATATATAAAGAAAATAGAAATAAATGAAGACAAAGGAAAAAATATAAATATAAAATTACAGAAAATAAAGAAGATAAAGAAAATATAAAAAAAAAAAAAAAGGTAAATATAAGTTAAAAGTAAAATAGTAATAATAATAGTCATAATTTAATAAAATAAATATACATACATACGTTAATAAATAGTAATAATAATAGTTATATATATATATATATATATATATATATATATATATATATTAAAGGACAAAATTTGGTGTCTTCACATATTATAAAATATTTAGATGATATTATAATAACATATCACATGACTTATAATATATGCATACTTTAAAATATATAAAAAAATTATAATAAGATACAATTTTAGAAATCAGAATACCATTTAGTTCTTAACTTTTATGCGAAAATTATATATTTTTGTATATTGTTTATATTAATAACTTTTTTATATTTTAATTCATATCAATTTTAGTTCTTTTTCCTCGGATTGTCATACAAAATAGAAATAAAAAATAATTATTTTATCAGTTTTCCATGAATTATTTATTGTACACAAAAAGGGAAAAAATCAATTAAACTAAACTTAAAATGATGAATTCCTCCTCACATATATTCTCCAACTCTTCCTTTTTGGCACAAGCAGTGCTTTAGAGGGATTGATCAGTAAATCTTTTGAGTCTTTGACCTAAGTCATGCAAATTCGTAAGAAGCCATCTCCCTGGGTGAAGTGGCTTAGTTAGCTTATGGTTAGGGCCTTGGACTAGGCAGTCTCATGCCTACAATCTTTGGGGAAAGATGGACCCTTGGACTCGGCCTTGGTGAAGGAATTGGATCAAACTTGAATCCAGGAGTAACCCTTGGTGATAGATTAACTTGTTCGAGTGCTTTTGACTGCAGATCAGTGGGGTAATCGCGCACGCACCCGATGCGGGGTCCAACCCCTGTGGTCCACTTGGATGATAATCTCTTAGCCGGAGTGGCAACTGGTGCTGGCGCCTTGGAACGATTGGTTCTAATCTTTTCATTACGGTCATGATTGGCTGTTTCCATCCTCCTCATGCTGTTACCACCATCACCTTCCTGGTTTCATCAGAATCGACTGTAGACACTCGTTTTGTTCGGGTCAAAAAAATCAGCCGCCAACGACATTCTAGTCGACCGCCAAGACTTCTTGAAGCTGCCATCGTCATCACTTACGTCACCAGCAGCCCAAAATCAAGCCAAAGTAAAAAATAAACGAATCCCGAAAGATCTGGGATTTTCACTGAAACTACACATAACTATTATAAAAAGAGACCATTCGAACAAGAAAAGGGGAGACAAACGGAGAACAAGCATCCAAACAAGAAAAAATATATAAAAATAGAGAGAAGAGAACGAGAGACTTACCACGATGTCGGGGGTTCAAACATCGACGGAGAAGTCGAAACATCGAAGGTAAAAATTTAAATTATGTCGATCTAGGGGTTTTTAGAAAAAAAAGGTGGTCGGATTCGGCTTTAGGGTGGTGAGATCTTCGATTTGATGTATTTTTATATTTTCCGACCACCGTAATTAGTGACTAACGGTGGTAAATAGTGACCGGCAATGGCCGACGTGACAGCGTACGGTGGCCGATCGTTGGCCGATTTCCCTCCGGTGAGGGAGTTAGAGAGAAGTCAGAGCTCTCTCTCTCTCTGAGAGAAACTCATTTAGGCATGTTATGGGATATAAATACCCTCCCAAAACTACGTCGTTTTTTGGAAAGACCTTTGTGTCATTTCGAAAATGGTCAAACCTCGTCCGCTGTTCCTGTAATTTGTAATTTTTATATTTTAGTCATCAAATTTAATTTTCAGCATTTTAATTTGGATTTTGAATTTTATTATGGTTACATTTTAGTCCCTAATTTATGTTTTATTCGAATATAGCCTAGGAATTTATGCATGTTTTATTTTGGTAACTAATGTAAATTATTTTTTATTTTATTTTTATTTTTTTAGAAATTAATATTTTCTTATTTGTTTATTATTTTTCTTAATTTTTATTTATTTCTCTTGTGACATTTTTTCACATTATTATTATTATTATCTTAAAAAAATTTATTTTTAATTTAATCTTCTAAAAAAATTTCTTTTTGTTTACCATTCAATATTTTATTTTACCATCTAATATTTTGTTTGATTTTTTCAATAGTAATTTCAATCGATAAAAGGTAAGTAATTCGAATTGAATTTTTAAATTTCAATTTCAATTTTCGCAATTAAGACAACCGACAAATTAAATGGTACCGAAAGGGCAGTTCAAGGGTACTAATCATTCCTTGACTGTAATCGACTCTCGAACCCGTTTTAATCGAATCTTTGTAAATGTAGACCAATTTTTTGTCTTAAAAATGATTTTTCTTAAAAAAAATTAAAATGATATTTTTAGGTATTTGGCCTACCTGACTCAAAGGTCAATGGCGACTCTTTTTCAATTATATCCAATTTAATTTGAAAATTACCAAATTTTCCAAATTAAAGTCGTGACCCTTTTTTTTAAAAAAATATTTAATTGTTTACCACGAAAAATGGTTATGACAGCTTGGCGACTCCACTAGGGACAGGTAAGTGAGTCAGGCCGAAATTAATTTTCGGTTATCTTTTTAAGCAAAAATAGTACTTTAAATTTATTCATTCGATTCCAATTATTTATCTTTGATTATTTTTTTTCAAATAAATAGTTGTACTGACGTTTTTTCAATGATTTCATATCTTTAACTTTTTCCATCTAAGGCTCTATACCCGAGCTTCGAACCTTTTTAAGTGAGGGTGAAAGCGACACCTTCGTGAGAATTTATTCTCCGCATAGGCCTAGCAAGTAACCTTCGGATTCATATACCTTATGTATTCGTGTGAATTTATTCACCACACAGACATAAGGGAATGTATCATCTCGAGTTTAACTTAGTCCACACAAGCTTGTAATGGGCTTAGGACTAAGGGTCTGACAAGCCCAAGGGGGCACCAACAAGGAGAATTCGGGTACCTTTTTTAGAACCTAAACCGGGATACTACAGAGAATTAGAGCCCACCCCAAAACCTCATTTCAAACCCTAGGCTACTTTGAGATTATTTCCTACTTTATTTTCTGTTCAAAGCATGTGAACTAGAAATTTATGCAGTTAGGACTGGTTCAAAATTAACATGTGGGATAGAGATCATGTCCGGGTAGGAATAATAAGTATGTGGGGTATGACTTTTTATTTTCATTATTATTATTTTTTTATTATCCTTATCTCAGTAATTTTTTCTCCTTTCATTTTTTCCTTTTTTTATTATTATATTTTATTTTTTATCATTTACATCATTCAAAAGGGGTATTGATCCACTAAAATGTGTTCGTTAAACCTAAATAATTTGTATTAATATACAAAGGGGTTATAATACAATAGGTGAAAAATACAAAAGTCTGGCTCATAAGGGACCGAGATTTACGTTGAGCATACTAAAAGTCAACTTTTTGAGTTGACAAGGGTTGCAGGGGCAAGACGAAAAATATTATTGACCTGGAGAGTTTCTTCAATGACAACAGGTCATTGTTGACCAGTCCAAGAAACAAACTAGTGAGTTTCAGATAGTTCCCTTCAATGGAGGCTTCCAAAGGCGCTTTTGTTGGGGGTAGACTCAGCAGAGTGTGAAAACCAGAGATGCAGCCATTCGAGTGTTCTTGGAACAAGTACAAAAGTAGTTCGTCACCTTCACGGTTTAGCCAGAGGAGTCGGAACGGTTCGACAGAGTATTCAACCAGTGACAGAAAAATATAAATCAACCTGTTAGAAGTTGTTAGGGTCTATACCTTTAAAATGTTTTTTGTCTCTTAAGATGTAACACTTTTGTCCCCAATAAGGATTATTTATAATAACATACACAATTTTGGATCAATGCCTCGAACATTTCATGCATCATTTTGCATGTTTGTTATTTTCATTTCTTTACATTTGCATTAACTAACAGAAGATTGTCTCATCAAAAGGAACAAATATTGGATACACCACCTCAAGCATTGGACACACCCCATCCGCATAACACCCGTTTGAAAAAGAAGAAGATGGAAGTAAGAATCGCTCAACTCGAGGAAAATATGTTGAAGTTACATAAAAAGATAAACCAAAGCAGTCTGAGTACTCTGGATACAACCACGAAAAGCCAAGAGTCATTGGTCGATCAATTATGACCAAGTTATCTGGTATACATAAAGCGAGTGCACTTAGGGTAGGTTCATCAAAAGGGGTAACTATACCACCTACCACACAAGTAGTTGTCTCACCCTGAATCTTACCGAAACTTCAAGGGGACTCATCTGCTGTAAAAGTGAAGACCTCATCTGCTGTAAAGATACAAACTACTGTATTTAACCCTGAGAATAATCCGAGTTATTACCATACACTGGATTTGGATGAAGAGGACAAAGCAAAGAAGATGGAGGAGAAAATCAAACAATTGGATGACCAAATGAATGTAGTTAAAGGAGACCATGACTACCATGGAGTCGATGTCGCAGAACTCAGTCTAGTCCCAGACTTGGTTATTCCTCCGAAATTCAAGTCCCTAAAATTCGAGAAGTTTGACGGGAACAGTTGCCCATCTGCTCATATCACCATGTTTTGTCGAAAAGTGACAGGATATGGAGGAAACGACCAACTCTGATCCACTGCTTCCAGGAGAGTCTGTCGGGCTCAGCCATCCGGTGGTACAACTAGCTAAGCCGATCCCATATCAAGACTTGGAAGGACTTGGCCAAGTCATTTCTGAAACAATACAAGCATGTCAACGACATGATGCCAAATCGAGTTATGCTACAAAGCATGAAAAAGAAGCATAATGAGAGTTTCAGGCAATACACACTGAAATGAAGAGATTTAGTTGTACAAGTTCATCCTCCCTTGGATCAGAAAAAAAACCTGGAAGCTTTTTGTACAGACCCTAAAGGCTCTATACTTCGGACACTTGGTTACAATCACATCAGGAAGCTTTTCAGACTTAGTTATGGTCGGAGAATGATCGAGTCAGCCATAAAGCAAGGCAAGATTAAGGATGGGGAGGCCAGTAAGAAACCTCCTATGAGGGAAAGAGATTGAGAGATTAACAACATCAATAAAGGTGTTACAATCTCTAGCCCAAAATCAACTACCGCTGCACCGTCAGGTACTTCTAAACAAAATTCCAGAGAACTTAGGAAGGAAATTGAGCATTTTGACCCTATTCCCATGACCTACAAACAGCTTTACAAACAGTTTTTTGACACTCACGTAGTGTCACCATATTTGGTGGAACCCATGAAGCCCCTATACCCCAAGTGGTATGATGAGAATGCTCATTGTGAATATCACGACGGTGTCCCAGAGCACACTAATGAGAACTGTTATGCATTCAAGAGAATTGTGCAGAAGATGCGCAACAAGAGTTAGATCGACTTCAACAACTCGGGGGCATCCAAGTGAGGAGGATGATCATTTCATTATTTGTAGCACTTTGTTTAAATTTGATTTTCTCCTTTTCTCAGTTTTTTAAAGACATTTAAATGAATTTATGCTATTTTAAAGATGGTGAACAATAAATCAAATTTGCAGACTTGAAATTCTTTGAATATCAACTAAATTAAAAACTTCGTAAATGTTTGAGGTTGTAAATCTTTGACAAATGACTAGATTGAATCCCTATAAAACAAGGACTCTTTTTATACACAACATACATTGGAATACATACTCTTCTTTTACAGGAACCAAGCTAGCTCTCTCCTCAGATAAAGAGTCCATCAAGGATTTGGCATTCAGGTATGTGTTAGGAGCGAATTAAATAGGACAACTAGCACATGAGATTGCAAATCTAATTGGTTTCTATCTATTTATAACGTTCAATGATGATCATGATCTTTTCAGATGGAATGGCCAAGTGGATGAATTTAGTTTAGGTCAGTTGCTTGGGAATTGAACTCTAACGATGAGATTTTCTGACCTTCGAAAAACACCTAGACTATAACAGGTTCTCCTCAGCGAGCTTAAGAAATAGAATCCGGTTACCCAATAAAAAATATAATATATATATATA